TACTCTAGGCTTCTCAAAACCTAAATAATTTAACTTGTATCTTACGAAATAAGAATTGCTTGTTTCGTTATCTTACCGATAGTTAATGAAGCAAAGAAGTCTACTGCAGCAAGCAAGCTAGTAAGGTAATACAGGATTCTCATTCCAGAGTTGACTTATTTTTTATAATTCAATTACTTGATTATTGTCGACAGCTTCTATTTTATAGCAAAGCTGAAATATAAAAGGTAATACTAAGTTAGGACTACTCTTTGTATGTAATTATCTGAAACTAAATATTGCATGTATCTTTGACTAATTATTACAGTAATTCTCGTCATGAGAAATATAATTATTTCAATGAAACCTAGGAAACTTTAAATCGTAGCAGCCGTCAACAATAATATATACTATGTCTCAAGTAAAAAATCAGGATCAGCACAGAATTTTCTTGTCATCAAGGGTATTTAATAAAAATTCAGAGGCTCTTATAATTGAAAGAGGAAACTGCTGTAGAAATGTTAAAATGTATGAATGATAATTATAATACCTAAATATTAATATGTTGAATACATTTCGTCGTGACCGTGACATTCAATTGTAAAAACTACTTTGTTTTCAAAATCATTAAATTAAAATTAATGCATCAGCTTCATTTACATACAAAATATTTCATATAAAAAGCATTGATTGTATTAGTATTACAGAATTTTTCTAAGGAATTTTTGAGAATAATTGAAATCCTTCAACAATTTCAAAATAGAATCACATTATTATGCTCGAATCGGATTTATCATAATTATTTTTGTTCATCACAAGCCAGTATATTTAAAGCAAATAAATGTTGTATTCGCTAGCGATTCAGATAAGATTTCCAATTGATGCGATATAGGCAAATATAGAAAAAAAATATACACCATTAAAGCAACTCACTAATGAAATTGAAATACGACCATCTGCATCAAAGCAATATCAATGGTCCTTTTCTCAATTTCTCAAACTGCATGAAAACACTCGATATTCATCTATGATCGTATAAGATTTGACGCGCCATTTTTCTTCTCAAATTGTTACTAACCTCAATCAAAATCTGTCCTTATGTAGTGATGGGTATTTGTAGCACCATTGGGAAGATCATGTAAACACCTGCATAAGCTTCGAATCCACAAATAATTCTCAAGCCCATTACATAAAATGACTAATGCAAAATACTGATATATACTCGGCCATACAACCTTTTACTTTGACAGGGTACAATGAATGGAAATTAAAACGACTAACATGTGGCAAATGCACGTACGTACTTACTTACTTGATTGTCCACTGGCTTCCCAAGATCTTCTTCCCGCGATGGCTGAGATTAAAATGGATTGTGCAATGACGCTCTGCGGACAAAGAAACCTTGCACTTGCTTGAAGTGTCATCCGGTCTCCTGTCACCTGTCATCAGGGTATACAACACACCACCGTCACAACATTTCAAACTCGGACTGCTCTGATGGAAGCCTGAACCATATACTCTTCTTTTATCTATGGCCTGAACTTTTAGATGGAACAAAAAAAAGTGTTCTGCGCATGCGCGGATAGTTTCGGACTGTTAGATTGGCTCGGATGGAACGAACCCTTTAAAGGAGCAAAGTCCACAATTTTAGTCTTTAAAAGATTGAGAATTTAAAAAGATTCAGATATATGTGAACTGTTTAACTAAATATTTATTTATCATAGCATCAAAATTAATGTTGCAGCAAAATATTTATTTAATTAAATTTCATTTTATTACTGTGAATAGATACTCAAATTATCAGTAATAAATTGCGATCAAAACTACAAGTGCTAAAAGACTGCCATCACAGATGGCGCAAGAATTTACTCAATGGCATAAATAAATGAAACTTTTAATAATAATAATAATAAATGTAACATACCGTTCCAAGTTCTTGTGCTAATATTATGATTAATTTATTATTAGATGATATTATATAACTGAAAATTCTAAAATTTGATAATTTATTCTATTTGATACCTATAATATATAAACTATCTTTTGGCCTTTATTTCTTAAGTTATTGTATTTAATTTATAAAATATGTAATAATTAATCTATAATATTATAGCTGTATATCAGCAACTTCCCCTTAGCCCATGGTGACACGTTCTGCTGACTGGTTTAGCACTAACTTCTGGATAAATGCGTGTTATCATACCTTTCAAATACCATTCGATTAGCCGCTTGTAATAATTTTCAGTAAATTTGTTTTGACATACTGTTCAATTATTATTTACCTTCAGCTGCAAGAGACTTAATAGGTAAGTAAACTAGTAAACAAGTATAATAACTTTATATCTCAAAGCCTTAGAATAAAATCCGCCCTACCTAGAGGGTTTTTCTGATCCCTCCGCAGATATTTCCTCTTAAGAGCTACTATCCTTAATTGTGGTTCACCGGCAACCTGAATTAAGGAAAAAAAATACAAAATCTATGTACCAAAATCGATAATCGACATATAAATTATTTGAATGTGTATAAATATTTCAAATATTTATGATAATTACTGCTCAATCGATACAACAAAAGTGAACTACTACAATTGTAATATTAATGGGTGATTAAACTCATTGAATAAAGTCGTCAATAATTTAGAGAAATCGACAATGAAATTCCACCAGCAATATAATAAAAGTGTACACTAAATGCCTCTTCTTATCATACCTTTCAAATGCTATTCGATTAGTCGCTCGTGACTGCTAATTTTTTCATTTTCAAACAAGAACTTTTATACGATGCCAAGAAACGCGTTGCCAACAAATTCTGACAGATCGCTCGTAGAAATTTTATGCTTACTTATCTATGCTCACGGATGCAATAGATGTATATAAAGATGTGCGAGAGAATTTTAATGACTGTAAATTTTTTTTTCTAGAGCAGCACAATTGAATTGGATTCATATTTGATATGGTGCGTATGTTGTGTCCTGTGTTATGTAGGATGTTATTTTAACAAGAAGAAGTAGTATATCAAGCAATGAGTATTAATGAGTAAGTTACGTATACATACACTTATTGTAAAGATGAAAAATTATAAATGAAAAAATTACATTCATTTTATATAAATAAAGTATTATAATTTATTAGACTTAAATTTTATTTTTACAGTATGAGTATAATTTTTGAAAGAAAATATACCCAAAGGATATGTAATATCCTGCACAGTTTATTTAATTGCTTAAGCCAATCATGGCTATTTATTTTGTACAGTGCTTATGCAAAATTATTTAACGAAATATTTTTGTTTCAACAGAGAGAAATAGTGCACAATTATTAAAAATTTAATCTTTATAAATGAAATTGTGAATAATATACTTTTACTAACTTTTCACAGATTAACATATAAGTACATCTGTCTGATGAGTCATTCTACATCGAATTAGATTCTAGAATATATATGAAGCAGATAATATTTTTAGTGTATACAAATTTCAATATATTTTTAAGTATTTCAAGCTATTTGTCCCATACTTTATACAAAAAATATTAAATTATACTTACAACAATACTGTAATTTTATTGCTATCTGTCTATTATTTATCAATGTAGGTTTACATGCAATATGAAAAGATTTATCATAATACCCTAATCAGGTACTCATAACAGAAGGCTGCATTAGCCAGTGATTTTATCATAAACTAAAATATTTATTACTATGAATGACAAACACTTCATTATGAACAATTGCAATAAAAACTTGAATTTCCAACATTTGTAACATATTGTTTCTACATGTGTATCATTCTGTAGGATGTTGAATGACTCATGGATATTTACAACAGATCACTATATTCGTACACAATAACATAACTTATCAAAATAAGTTGCATGTCATTTAAAATTTTTTTTTTTGATAAAGATATTTAAATTTATTTATTGAATGATGATTATCTTTGTTTCCAACTTATCCATTATTCATTTAATACCAATTGGATTATTTGTTTTAATATGTATAACTGTAAATACAAATATACAACTGAGTAACCAGTATGCATTATAATACAAATTTAATATAAAAACTAAATTTTATATTAATATTGCATTCAGACTTCTGACTCAATTAGGCCAAAATAAAGATGATCAAATATTGCAATGATTTCCCATAAACTCAATGCTTCAAAATAAGGATATTAGTTTACATTATGAAGTAACGAATTACAAATATATGTTTGTCAAATGAAAATACATTTATTTGGGATTATTTGCAAAATGCAACAGTGATACATAAAATATGCAATTCCGCAGGAGCAGCATCCGTAGCTGTAGTTTATATCCAAAAAAATATTATTATTGACAAAAATATTTATCCTGCAATATTGAGATTTGCAGAGAACCAAAGCCATTTAAAAAAAGAAAATTGTTGAAACCACTCTCTGTGGCCTCCCATTAATTGTATATAGCTCTTATATTTCCATCAATGTAATTTTTTTAATGAAGAATATTAATTTGAACTAGTGGGGCGCATGGCACCGTGCCTTAAACATTCGAAAAATGAAAATAATCAACAATTGTTTTTTGTTTTTTTTTAAAAAATAACGTATTTTTTAAATTTTGAGAACTTAGAAATTTTTGAAAATATTCGATTTTTTTGAAAATTTCGAAATATTCTCAAATTTTTGTAAAAAATCGATTATTCTTAAATTTTTTAAAATTTAGTTTTTTTTTAAATGATGAAGAATTTCGAGTTTTTTTTGAAAATTTTGATTTATTTTTAATATTTTCAAAATTACAAAAGTAACATGTTTTTTGAACTTTTTGCCCCGTATCTTAGAAACGGCTAGACCTGCCTTCATCAATCAATACGAATGGAATGTTTTTTGAATTATTCAAATCGACGAAAATTTGTATCCGCACATATACATCCATTTTTTCTACGGTATGCCAAAATATTTCTATCCCAAAACCCATTTTGATTTTTTTGCGATTGCTATAACTTACCCTATGGGAAGTTAATAATAAATGTAGTATGTCTGCATGTGAAATTTTAAAAATATATTTTATTTCTTTGTTCTATACACTAAAAATAGAAATGATAACGTGGGCAGCGTTTCTCTGCTCAACTGACATTTTATTCTCCATAAGAAACATTTGCATGTGCATGCAGGCTGTTATAAGCTTGCCTGATTGTTCTGGCAGTAGACGACCCGATACTCGTGACATTTCCATCCGTAAAATGTCTATATTCGGGCTAGCAATATTAAGTAAATTGCAGAGATCATCGGGTGTTGATAGATTGATTAAATGTGCCAATGAAATGCATATCTAAAATAATAAATTTATTGTAATGCAGAATTTTATAAACAAATAATGTTTTCATATTTTTATTTTAGTGAATCACTAAATTTTTTATAACATTAAATTTTATTGTATCGTTTCATTCTAAGCTATGAGATTTTATTGGTAAATTAATCTGCATGTATAATACTATAGTTATTTACCTGGTCTACTAAGTTATCTCTATGCTTATATTCTGTGAAATCCTCCATATTATTTGTGCAATCCAGACCTAAGATCAATGAAGACCATGTAGAAAGATAATGTTCGCCATAGTTTTGTCTTTCCGCAGGCACAGCTAAAGCAGCTGCTGCATTGATTCGAACTTTAAAGTTTGGACTTTTTACAACAAAACTATTTAATGCTGCATAAATTAGTTGCTATAAAAAAATACAATAAGCTTGTATTATTTATGTCATTTTTTGTATCCATTTTTACTTACTTGCCATTTTATACCATCAGACCCTTGAAATAAAAAATTATTTTTTAAAACTTTTCCTAGAGCATAACATGCATTCCAAATTACTTTCATAGCTCCAGTGGGAGTTGTAAGCCTAAATATAATATCGGAATAAATTATTTTATTCATTTCAAGCAGCACATATATATTTATTAAACAAAAAGTAAAATCAAAGTTTACCTGGTGATACCTTCATCAATCAAAGTTTTCCATTCAGATTTTATTATTAATTCTGAGTTTAGGAGCCATAGCAAGCTACCTACAGCCCTCATAGCATTACATTTTACCTAAAAATTTGAAATATATATATAATGAATTAATAATAATTTGCTTGTAGATGAATATTCCTATACCCGATCATTGTCTTTTGTTCCATCAATGGCAATTCGTAGTAAGGTCATCAGCATTGGCTCAGATATTTCTTCAAACTGCTCAGTTCTAGAAAGTATAAGTTAAGCTTACTGAAAACCAAGTCATAAAGTCTTGAATTAAATTAGTGAATAAATAACCTTTTCTCCGTATCTTCCAGTTAATCTTAATAATTACTTACACTGCATAGACTAAAGCATCACTCAAATTTCCAAGAGACCAATATGCTTTAATTCTGATAGGCAAATTTGTTTCCTTCATAAGATTTATAATTGCATCAGCAGTATCCATAAGAAATCCAAAATCCTAGAAAAACTTTTTATATTTATTTGCATAAACATAATATATCAGATATCAATATACAAACTCAAGAGGTAGCTTTATCTTAAATGATAATAACTATTTTTAATTTAATAAATGATAATAATTGCACCTCTCGCAGTGGTGGAAATTCCACACAAACAGCTAATGCTCTGACAGCGGCAGCCCGCACAGATGCTTCCGGATCCCTTGCGCAGCCAAAGAGATTAGTAATTACAAATATTTGTTTATCTCGCTAGAAATTCAATGGTTCTATAAATTATTCAACTAACACAAAGTATTCATTTTTATTAATCATAATAATAAATATATTCAATTGTATTACCGGAAACAGTTTAAAAACTTCATTGCCAATATTTCCCAAGCAATCACAAGCAATACTTCTCAGTAATGAATTTTGTGTATCTTCCACAAGTCCCATCAAAGGGTTTAAAAGAGTTTGCCAGAAAATATAACATTGTTGTGGAGATAATTTTTTGTTAATATCTGTAATTAATTTGTAATTCATATTGTGTAATCCATAATAATTGATTGTAAGTAGTATCATTTTGCTATCAATTACACAATTCTACCAATAAAAAATTATAATAATAAAATAATACCTTTATTATTTAAATAAGAATTCATTGCATAACCAAGTGCATCCAAGGTTTTGCCTGCGTACATCCTATTTTCTATGTGATGATCCAAAAGAGAAGTTTCAATTGCAAGTGATAAAACGTCTAAATTATTTTCAAATAGAGAGAAATAGGATGATCCTATTGCTGCAAGCACATTAAGACTTTCCAATCGTATTTGCACTGGCGCAGCATCTTTTCCCTAAATGTGGATAATAGTATAGATCAGCAATGTTTTATTTAATGTAATAAATACTCTACCAGAAATATTGAACTTATGTGATGATGACTCAATTAAGGTATATCAAAACTAGTTGGTATTGGTATTTTGCCTTGAGGCAAGTTACATGAACTGCCCGATATGTGTAAACAATCAACATAATCAATAAAAAATAAATTAATTTATGAGTGATTAAAAGTATTCCGAGTGGATTTATTACACATATTTTAAAACAAAGCAACACGTTAACTAGGAGTATTTCCTAACAGCATATTTTCAAAAATCAATAATTTTTATAATTGAACCAGTTTCTGTAAGACTTTAATGATTCAGTATGTTCATTAAGGACAAGTACTCTATCGTTATACCAAGTAAATCCCTCAAACTTGATTTGAATTTACACACACACACAGGCACACACATACTTTTTCCAAATTTGGTCTCATTCGTTTCAGAACGTTTTGAAACGTCGAAAAAACATAAAATCAGCGAATCGGATATTTTTTATGAAAATATAAACTTCTCCTTCGGGAAGTTAACACTTGCTTAGTATACTACCAAAATCATATTGAAAGATCTAAGTAGTGCACTAGTTTATGGTGAATGATTGACCAAGTTGTATTTCTTAGCCTCTTAATGTTTACATATTTTCAGAAACATTATCTTATAGTAGAAGAGCCAGTGAACTATTATTAGCGTTATTCGAAAGCCTATTGTTTTTTCTTTTAGTACTGCAAATATTGATCAAATCAAATTTGTGGAACACATTGAAAAATTGAAGAAACCAGAGCCGGTACACCCGCGCGTAACGCTAATAGGAGCCCGCATAGTATACTGGCCCTGGTTTCTTCAATTTTTCAATGTGTTCCTCAAATTTGATTTGAACAATATTTGCAGTACTAAAAGAAAAAACAATAGGCTTTCGAATAACGCTAATAATAGTTTAAACAAAACACACTATCCGAAAACATTAATTGAAAAATTATTTTATCCTTTTTAGCTAATAATAAAAGATTATTTAGCATATATTAATATGCATTATATTATCTAAGCCAATATGAGTAGAATCACGTAATTTTTTTTTCAATATCTTTTATGATTACGCCAAAAATTGAGTTTGAAAAATGGGCTACTTTGGCATATTTTCAATGATATCTCGGCGATTATGTATGGCAATGCGCTCACACCCTTGCGCGTCGTGATTATTATGTACTCGACTGGCAGACCCCGGCAACCGTCAGAATGGGCTGGCTTTTTACATATGCTTTCTGAACAGTTAAAAGAATACACCCTCAAAATTTGAGCCTTGTAGGAGCAAGTTATGAAAATTTTTTTTTGACATTTTCACAAATTGAAGGGATGATGACGCAACTGCGGAATGACTGCCAGAATGGTACTTTCTTAATGGGTCGATAATAAAATATCATTAAAAAAATTTCTAGTACTGAGAAAACAGGTTAGTCAAATAGTTCACTGGCTCTTAGACTATTACATTCTACGTCAAATTTGTATTACCATTATATACTTACAACTCCCAAATTTTCTAAACATATCAGTAATAGCCAAGGGGTTTTTGCGTTATCAGTAGAATTAGCATACCCCAAATCATGTTCGGGCAAATCCTCATCTTCAAATTCTTCTTCAGAAAAAGTGTTATCATTATTCAAATTTTTATTTGAACTTGTTATATTTTCTATTGCAGACTTCATCGTTGGTGATGCACTAGGATTACTGGCTTCGTTTTTAAACTTTTCTTCATGCCCAAAATACGTTTTGTTTAATTTATCATCGTCAATTGGTTTCGATATAAACTCATAAAATTCGGGAATACAAGGCTGTACTGATACAGCACAGCCCAGAGCTATGAGGGCAGCTACTTGTACAGCTATATCTATTAATTTTAAAAATAATTTGACATATCAATCTGCTGTGTTTAACAATCTTTAATTTTAATGCAACACATCCCACCTTTATGTTTAACAAAGCTTTTTATACTACAAACTAAATTAACAAGCAAACCATTCTCCAACCGATGATAAGGTGTTGATTGTATCAGTGCTGAGCAACATTTTAATATTTGAATTATAACAGGAAAAGATTGTTCTTGTGATATTGCTGTTCTTAATGCATTGTGTAGTGCTGATATCATTCCTCCAAGAACAACAGAAAACGGCGTGAATGCTGTGACCATCTTATCACTATTATGATAATATTTAATTAATAAATCTCATATAATGATTGAAATGGAAAAAAAAAGGACAATGGACTTAACACACTATAGATAGGTAAAAATAACATTCTCGAGGATTGGTACTTATTAGCAAACTGTGTATTTTTACTGTTTACAGATAAATATTACTAAAATTTATTAAAAAATATATATGTATATTATTAATATATACCTTGATATTAAAATTTTAAATAAAATAAGTTCCGATTAAAGTATTGAAGAAGCGCTTTTATATTTTGAGTTATGATAGTATGCACAACTTTCTTGCTAAAAATTAACAAAAATAAATATGTTTAACGATATAACAAGTCGAGTTTATGCGAGGCGACGTGCGAGCGCTTTTTTAGTTATTAGCAAATTTTGCTTGCTATTGCTACACAAAACCATTTTCTCTGGTGAGTATTTTCACAGGTTTCGCCTATAGTGTTTTAATACTAAATAATACAAATCTGTGATTGAATTATCAAATATATCCTATTTTAAAACTGTAACAAATCTATTAACATTTTGTGATGAAAGAACTAAACCATAGTAATACATAATTATAAAATTTGTAAAGTATATTAAATCAACTGACCAGTAGTCTGCTCGCCATAAATAATTTCGAGAGCCAGATAACATAGCGGTTAAAATATTAAGTGCTCCTATACGACATCTTGGTGATGGGTCATTAATCACAGATGCGCTTAAAAATCTGTTGTTATCACTTGGATTCGATGGCATCAAACTATGCCAATATCCAAATAATTCATGTTTACTTACTGCCTGAAAAATTTATGTTATATTATAGACATGTATCTTGAGCAGTTAGATATTGTTTAGATGCATCAATAAATTAGAGAAAATTCAATAACATAATCATAAACTGGGTGAAATAAATAGCATACTCTGATTATTATCAGCAATAGCTCTAATGCTTTCTGTCTGACTCGGCATTGACTATGCACTATCCTAAAACCTACATTTGACTCAGAATCTGAAATATCGGACTCAGAAGTCACAATCAATGAACAATTAGCAGTTGTTCCTGAAACTTGAATAGGGTATACAATTTTAGAGAATTATACTGTAGTTATTCAATCATTATAAATAATGCTTACAAGTGGACTCTGAATATATTTTGCTTTCATTTGCAGTTTGCACCTCTCCTGGGGCACATGAAGTTTTTATATTATTCGCACGTTGTTTTCTAGTACGTATCATCTGAAACAAAAATATAAATGTGAAATTATTATATTATAAAATATAATGTCTATATAAAAAATTATACTTATTTATCTATAGTACTTTGTATAGTATTATTTTTTTTAAATTCCTAATAGTAATGAAATTAGGTTTCAATACCATACTAAAATATGAATACCGGTATTCGATATTTGAAATTTGTAATACCGCCATCCCGGTATTATCAATAAAAAATTTACTAGTCATATTTTTATTTACCGCTGTTACCGCATTATTATTGTTCTAAAATGAGTACATATTAATTATTTTATCGGAGGAGTAGATACATAAAAAAAAGTGCATGTAAACAATTAACTTCTATGTTACATTTTACATATAAGAGACTCGTATGGAATTATATATTTAAGGAAAAAACAAATTCAATTAATTACTTATATTTTGTTTGTTCTGCTTTTAAAAAATATAAACAATCAATTGTTTAATCTTCAATCAAGTAGAAATATAACAAGTATCTTAGTACAAATATAACAAGCCGAAAACTCTTTTCTCATTCTACACTTGTCGGCACAATTGTCATAAAGAAATAATACGAGTACATTATTAGTACTTAGTATAGTGTATTTAAATTGGGTTATAATAAAATCATCATTAGATATCAACACATCACAAAGGCTTATAGAAAATTACTGTATTTTCTGATTGTCTAATAAATAAATAAAATAATTCTATATGAACAATTTCTAAGAATCTGCAACGTACGCATAAGAAAGAGGTCATCCACCACCAAGACCAATATTATAATTGATTATCAAACTCAAATATTATAAATTTTCGTTATATTAGATTTGAGGACAATGCATGTGGACGACTAAAAAATTTTATAAATAAACAATCGCTTTATCGAGCCGACATCGTCGATGTGTTTACAGATACAAAGTTTGGAAACTGTACGTGTATTGCGTAAGTTCAATTCTTAATAAAATACTGGTAATACCGAAATATCCGTATTTTTGTATTGAATACCGGACAAAAATCGTCTGGAAACCCGGTATTCGGGATCACGGAATCCCAGTATTGTAAGACCTAGTTGACAGCTAAGTAGATGCAGTATTTTGTTAGAAAATCAAAATCATTTTTTTCATGGAACTAAATCATTTTATTCTGTAATAAATTGCGCATTTTGATTGATAATCTGTTATCTTTCAAGCATCATCATAATCATACCTCCATGGAACTTCTGGTTTTTAATAGCAAAAAACCAGTACAATTTGACACCATCATCATTATTGAAGGAATTTTGTAAAGATCAAATGATGGTGATAGTTCAACGTAAACGATTCCTTTGTTATTCCACCAAAATGATAACAAAACCTACTTTGTCAGTATAAACAGCATATACGCGAAAATAAAAATAAAAAATGTTTGTTTTGATTTTCAAATTACCCGACCAATAAAAATATGTCTTTTCCATTTGGACTACGTTAGCAAACCTAAAAGGTTAATTGAAGCCATCTAACTTGAAAGCAGCACTTACTTTGCTGCCAACCTAATAATTTTTTTTAACAAATTTAAAACCAATTCTTCAATCAAATCTATAACAAAATTATTAAATTTTGAATCACACCTTACCACCTCTTCCTATTCTGCAAATGTTGTTCAAATTTTCTGGCATTGGTTGCTGAGAGGGCAATACTTTTTGTGGAATCAAATTCTCACCAATGCTTAAGCCATGAAATATATGTACTTTTACTGCACCCAAAAGATCTCCTAATATTGAACTACACCACTCTGATGAATATTGCACAATATAAAGTGCACCGGAAAAACATGTGAATAAAACCTGAAACATAAAATAAATAGAACTAGAAATTGTGCTTTGTACAAAAATCTGCCATAAAACATTCTGGTTTTTTGAAAATAATGCTTATTTTTTCAACTTGTACAATTATTGCGATACTTTTGTTTTGATGTATGTAAAGTAATTCAATAATGAAAACTTTTTAACAAACTAAAAAAAAATTTGGGTAAATATTTTTTTTAACATTTTTAAGGAGAAGTTTGTTTTTGCGAGAAAATCCGAGATAATTTTATATTTTCTCAAAGTCATTCTGAATCGAATAAGACCAAATTTTGAAAGAGTGAGCTGACCTTTAGAGCTGAAATTTTGAAAGTCAATGATTTCTCATGAACGGCTAACCGATTTCAATAATACAAAAGTCATTACATGTAACTATGAGGACTAGCGTTTATCAGATTTGAGTGAAGACTGCCCAAGCCGTTTCCTTATAATTAGCAGAAAACTGAAAAATTTTTCATCTAAGTTTTAACCAAAAATCCTGAATCAATTATTAAAATTCAAAGCATATCAATTGAAAATCGTTTTGGCTGGCTATTTCTTCGTAATTGAATCTTGGCATGGCGATAGTGTACCTGGTCTTAATGAACATATCAAAATATTATAGTCCTATAAAAAGTTGTTCAATTATAAATATTTATTAAAATATGAATTAATGGACCGTGTATTTAGATATTCTGTGTATATATTAGATGTGGGTTTGTAATAGTTAATAACATTATAACTTGCTCTACAGCAACTCGGTATACTTATAAATCATTCATATATTAGTATATTGATTTCTTATTGATTAAGTCAATTATTACACATATTGGTAATTGCCTTAAGGCAAAATGCTACTTACAAATAGTTATAAATTAAATATCAAAGATTCAGAACCTAAGAAATATAACAATTGATCACCTTCAATAATTACCAAATTTATTTAACACGATATTTTGCAGCATATTACCTGGGAATAATTTAATTCATCTTGAGTATTAGATTTGCTTTTGTATAAATAATGCAAAAAAATATCTCCGCAGTATTCTAAATGTGTTTTTGCAATCCAAAGATCGTTGCTGCTTTTATTAAGATTTTCTTCATTGATATTGACTAATGACTCGTAGCACTTGAGTACATGTAATGTTACATCAAATGGACAATTTATTGTGCTTTTCATATCACACTTTGTTGTTGATTTTAATATACTTGATAAAAGGCCATTTGGTTCAATGAGGCATTTATGATACTAGAAGTAAAATATAATTTTAAAATTAATATAATGCAATGTTTCAACTTAATTTAATATTTAATCTAATGTGACCATATATCTAGGATTGGCAGGTACAGTTCTGATTTTCTACCTTGTGCCCCAGTTTTTTGTAAAAAAAAAAAAAATCATTTGTCCCAAATTTTTGGAATAATATGGGGATGTCTTCCTTTCAAATAAGGAAATTAAATTTTTGAATATTAATTGGTTAAAAATGAATCTATGCTATTACTTTTAATAAAATTACAACATTTTATTAAATACCTGAAAATGAAGAGCAATAACTTTGTCAAACTTCGTTTTTTAGATTAACAAAGTTAGAAAAATAGCATATAAAAGCACAACTCTCTAAGCAAGTAAGAAAACTTGACTTGAAATAGACACACTATATTCAAAAGTGACACTTTTAACTAAAGTTAATTATGAAGAAATATAGATTAAAAGAAATTGATACATTAAAAAAGATTTATATTGTAACTTTCAATAGCACTTGTTATTTTAGATTATATATAAGTTACTTTATAACCTACTCTTCGCGGATTATTTACTGGTTTATCATAATTTTAGCGTACTGTCCTGGTTTTAAAATAAAGAAATATGGTCACCTTAGTTAATCATATTCGTCAAATATAAAATCAAAAATTCATTTTTAACAATTAATATGTTATTGGTAATCTTATAAATAGTTAGAAAAGTACTTTAGTTAATGCTGCTCCATTTCCTTTCAACACTGCGCTTAAACCTTCTAGAATATCACAGAGAACAATTTCCGAGCAAATCTTCAAAACTTGTATAAACCACTCCACACATGGTACAATATGCTCCGAAAGCAAAGCTATTTTTTGCTTGTGCACTAAATTAACAATTAGACGAGATACTTTAGCTGCTAAAAAACTGTCATCCGATGGAACTTGCTTTGTAACAGAGGAAATTAATTGGCTTCCATACTGAAATAGATAAAGGTTAAGAACACACAAGGCACAGTATATTTTAATTGATACTCACAGAATGATCCTGAATGATCGATAATTTATAATTCAAGGAATTGAATTCATCTAACAAAGCATTTAAAGTGAAATGTTGTTTTTCTTTGCTGATATGTTTTACATCCATGAAACTAAAATATAATACCATGAATCTTTCATGGTTATCAAATGCATTATTTGCCATTTTTAATTAAAAAAAAACTATTTCAATTTTAGGTGCATCAAACAATATAAAAAAATGATTTGTTACAATTAAATTTATTTAATCAAGTGTTTAATATTATCAGACAACGCATTTGACAGCTTTCTTTGACAGTTTGAATACAAATTCACAGAATGGTTAGATGTCGTTACATTTTATCGAACCAAAATAGTCAAAGACTACTCCACAAGATGTCAATGCATTTAATTAACTTCCCGAAGGAGAAGTTTGTTTCACGAAAAAATCCGACGAGGATCCGACCCATTCTGTTATGAATTCATTAACTTCTCGAAGGAGAAGTTTATGTTTTCATCAAAAAATCCGATTCGCTAATTTTATGTTTTCTCGACGTTTCAAGCCATTCTGAATCGAATGAGACCAAATTTGGAAAAAGTATGTGTGTGTGTGTGTGTATGTGAACAGATTTTTTGCCGTAAATCGACGTTTTCTCGAAAACGGCTGGGTCGATTTCAAAAATTTAAAAGCCATTCGATGTATTTCGGCGAGAACTATTGTTTGTCAGTTTTGTGCGACGATCGGCCAAGCCGTTTCTTTATAAATGGCAGAAAAGTGAAAAATTTTTGGTCTACGTTTTAGCCCGCAATTCTGAATCGATTTTGAAAATTCAAAAACCGTTCGAAATATATTGGTTGGGAATCGTGCTGATTAGTTTTCGGTAGAGATCGGCCGGGCCGTTTTCTTGTAATAAAGTTTTTTTAAAAAAAAAATTCGACGATTTTTATGATTATTTTTTTGACGATAGATACCATAGTCTTCTAGATCATACTAAAATATTACGGCCCTACGACAACTGGTTCAGCTTTAAAAATTCGTCAAAGTTTGCAAAATCAGTATGGTCTTTTTGGCATTTGTCAAAATTAGACTTTTGATCGACGTTTTCTCAAAAACGCCTGAACCGATTTTAGAAATTTAGAAGCCATTTGATGTATTTCGGTGAGGACTATCGTTTGTCAGTTTTGTGCAACGATCTGACAAGCCGTTTCTTTGTAATTCGAAAAAAAAGTGTTAAACTTTTCGTCCACATTTAAGCTCATCCTACCGAACCGATTTTAAAATATCAAAAACTGTTCGAAAGATATTAGTTGGGAGTGATACTGATTAATTTTAGGTGAAAATCTACTGAGCCGTTTTCTTGTAATTAACTGTTGAAAAAAAGTGTTAAATTATCGTCGACATTTAAGCTCATCCTACCGAACCGATTTTAAAATATCAAAAACTGTTCGAAAGATATTAGTTGGGAATGGTACTGATTAGTTTTAGGTGAAAATCTACCGAGCCGTTTTCTTGTAATTAACTGTTGAAAAAAAAATTTAAGCCGATTTTCATGGAACTTTTTTTGGCGATATACATCATGTCTTATACAACTTACTGTAATATTACGGCCTTACGACAAGTAGTTTAATTTTACAAATTCGTCAAAGTTTGCTAAAATTATAATCGTTTTTTTAAAGTAGGATTGATGAAGTATATTATTTACACATTTTTTTGATTAAGTCGATTATTTACACATATCGGGAAGTTCATGTAACTTGCCTCAAGGCTAAATACCAAACCAACTAGTTAAATTCTAATATTGTCTAGGATCCGACCCTAGGCAACGTTAGAATATTATATATGCAGGACCGCATTTAGAAATTTGACGCTCTGGGGCACTATCAAAAATGCCGCCCCATCCCTTATTAGCCCGGTAAATTTACCCATTCAAGGTTACTATAATTCTTAATGGGCTGTAACTTGGCAAAATTGCTTAAAATACAATTATAAAACAAATCTCATAAGTCCTCATAGATGCGATGCGATGCGAGCTAAAAAAAATAGGAAAAGGTTAAAGGTAAAATAAATGACCCTCTTGCGATTTTTAGCTAAATGGTCAGTTTTATCGCAAAATTACCTGAGACAATATTGTTGAGCATAAAATGATCTACAAAAATTGAATGAATACTGTTTTTGCTCAGAGCCACCGTTTTAAAGATATATCACTTTGAAGACCACGTTTAAACGACACCTGAGAGGTAGTGTGCTTGACTCGTTTTTTTCCCAGTAGGCCTATTTCATAGATAAATAAGCATTTTGTTTGTTCGGAACACTCGCAAAACTAGTGGGCATCGTGCCTTAAGGCAATTTGCTGGAACTTCCCGTACCATTTATTATGATTAAAAAAATATTTTTTTTGTTAAAAAGATTATTATTTGAAAAAAAAATTACTCTGAAAAAATTAGATTTTTGAGAAACTAAATTTTTGATAAAAATTTACTTTTTTTGAAAAAAAAGACTTTTTGGAGAAAAAATTATTTTGAAATATTTTGGAAATTCTGAACTTTTTTTCAAAGCAATCGTACTGCTTTAACCGCATAGAGGCAAAATATCAAAGCGCGTAAGCGCCGCGTCGCCGTCTAACGGATAAACATTGGTACGGAAACCATAGGAATGTAAACAAAATTTATACTTATTGTTAAAATCTCTGATAATTTGATGTGCATATGTCTAATGATCATTTTCGACCGCCAAATCGCATTTTTTTCACTTTTTTTACTAGATCTCCGAAACCGTTAGACCTGCCTTCATGAAAATTTGATCAGTTCTTCATCTTGTTAATACAAGTAAAACGTTTTTTTATTATTAAAATCGGACGCTCCGTTCTCTTAAAAACTGAGCTACCGTTTTTGGCACTTTTTCCCCCATATCTTCGGAACGGCTAGACCTGCCTTTGCCAAAAACTAATCAGCACGTCTCCTTATCAATACAAATCGAATGTTTTTTTAAATTATTCAAATCGCTTCATCCGTGTTCCCGAAATCGTCGACGAAAATTTGTATCCGCACACACACACATACACGCACACACACATACACACACACGCTCATACGTCCGTTTTTTCTAAGGTATGCCAAAATGTTCAGAAGGTTTTGAAACGTAAAGATATACAAAAATTTTCATTCAATCGATTTTTTTGCGATTACCATAACTTGCCCTACGGGAAGTTAATGATATTTGTGAATTTAGGTTGGTAAAAATAAAGGCTAAAATTAAAAAAAGCAACTAAATTTATTCCATCATTATTTTCAAATGTTTCTACATCTTTTTGCATCGTTTTCTTGATCTTCTTCTTCTTCTTCTTTTTCTTCGTCTCCTTCTTCTTCTTTACTTTGAGTATACTTTGGTCCTGGTTTAAAAAAATACATATTTTGTTCAGTACAAATCACTGTTCATTTCAATGTTAACTAGTAACTAACGTGTCTTAAGGAATATTGCTGGAACGTCCCGTACTGTAACGAAATATTCGAGAAATATCAAATGTTTTCCCATTTACAGCCCATAATGAATTATAGTAACCTTCGCCTTGATTTTAGGCTTAAATTGACCGGGCTATATATTTTACTTTAATAGTTTTTATATATCATTTTTCTAAAATTAAAATAACTATTTGATTGCAGAAAATTTATTACGTATTACATACTATAAATAGTGGTACTTGGCATCCTGCCTTAAGGGGTTAGGGGTACTTGGAAGTATGAAAAAATGAGAAAATTTAGTATTGTTTTTTTGTTATTAAACGATGTTTTTTACAAAAATATTAATACGGCATCATTATACAATGTTTTGACTTGAAGTAACAAAAATTTCAGAAAAAAAAATAATATTCCCAAAGTTATAGCTGTATTTGTTGACCCTGTTTCAAAAAACGGTCCTGGCGGTGACCATCATAACTCCTTAGAGATTCATCTAAAATCGGCCTGGGCCTGATCGAAGGTTTTCTTTTTTTTCAAAAATTAACAAAATTTCTAGATTTTTGGGTAAAAAATCAACAGTTAATTGGTCTTAAAAAATTGAAATTTCTGAAAAAATAAAAATCCTTCGATCAGGCCCGAGTTTATTATGTATTCTAAAAGCCGTATAAATTTCATTAAAATTTACTAAGCGGTTTTTGAGTTACAGTGGTCACCGGTTCAAAAAACATAGTTTTGAGAAAAACGCGTTTAAAGTTTCACATTGGATTAACGTACAGAAATTCGAATTATTAAATTACTTAAACCGTGTCATCTTTTTCTGGGCCATATAATAGTTCATCAGTCATTGTGCAAGTTTCCAAAATTTTTATTTGCTGTTGCCTACGAAGCATTCTGGCCTCCCGAATGTTCTCGTTGACGCGCTGATCTGCCACTTTCATACGTGCAGCATCCAATTTTTTTTAGCATACCAATGGGAATTATACCCGCAATTAGGTGCTAGGGTATCCACATATCCATAATCAATAATGATGATTATGTATATGTATTCAGCAATTTGTACGATAGTAGAACTAGTATTCACGGTTTTTAGGCATATTTTTTACACTAGTTGGTTGAAGCTTTTAATTATTTCTGATTATGGATTCAATCTTGAACTACACATCTTGAAAGTAAATTATCATTGCTGAGATCGTCGTAAGTCGGTTTAAAAGCTTTTAAAACATCAGGAGGTGAGGGAGAATAATTTTGAATAAATATCGAGCTCCTCACATGTGTCAGCTCGTGTCCAATAACTCAAAAAGTAATCATCGGATCAACTTGAAATTTTCAGAGAACATTTTCAAGATATCACACTTAATGAAAATGCAAAAAAATAAAAATCGATTTTTAAAAAATACTAAATACCCCTAACCCCTTAAGACAAATTGCTCGAACTTCCCGTTCTGAAAGCTAAAATTAAAAAAAAATATGTTTTTTGAAAACTCTGGAAAAAATCAATTAACTCTTTGAAATTTGAGTTTTTATATTTTGAAATTTTGAACTTTTTTTTTCAAAGTAATTGCACGGCGTAGATGTTTTAGTGGCGAAATGTTAAAGTACGTGAGCGCTACTTGCAGTCTAACGGATAAGCATTGGTACGGAACCCATACAAATGTAAACAAAAATTGTACATTTTAAAGTTCTTTA